TATCTGTTATTGTTATATGTTAATTTTTATTGTATTTTAATATTTTTATACGCATTGTATAATTCGCCATGGATTTTTTCCGTTTAATAAATTTGTAGTAAAAATGTAGTTTACCGATTTCAAGCTAGGTAGAAGGAAATAGGTCACGACAACAGATGTGTGGAAAAAGTTAATTGACTGATTTTCAGTTAGAGATGGATATGCTGCTGCATACAAAGCCAATCAAACCACAAGTTGCTGATACCTAGTTAATGCAAGGCACACCCAACTGAACAGACAGAAGTCTCGAAACCGGCTCTTTGGTGTTTACCCGTGAGGCAGGTAAAAACCTGTATCATTTTATAAATATGTGAACTCAATATTATTTCGGGAATTTCTTGTAATGTTTTATATATATGATTGATGTAGGGTTGAACATACCAACAAGGCGTAATTTAAGTAGAATCCAGTATACCTTCCTACCCACCTATTGAAATATTTTGCAATCTGGCATTATTTACATGAATCTACTCATTCATGCTGTGGGTACCTACCTTCTGATGACTAACCAGCTCTTTTAGCAATTTAAAAATAGCGTGTTCGACATCGTGAAGACTATTCTCTCTAGATGCAATACGAAGATTGCAAATATGTTCGTGTCTTGCGAGCTTTCCGGGTACCTATAAATTATTGCACGAAACCTTATCGTTTACACGTAGCGCCCCCCCTAACCTAGTCTGGAGACCCATTCGAAACGCCTCCAATCGCACTAATTGCGACCATATGTGGAATGCATCTCTTAACTCTGAAACAAAAAACAGCATATCGATATCTTGGAATATCTGGGCATTTTGCACACAACGGTCAATCAACGGCTAACAATTCAGGAAATGATTTTCAAGTTGTCGAGGAATATCTCCATAATTCCTTTGGTTTATTTGGGTTGTTCAAGGTGAAACCTATTATAAATATGTAAAAATGTGATACCTATTTGGTACATGGATACATATGTAGATGTCTATTCGAGATCATCCAAGTTGTAGTGGTACGAGTCAGCTACCCGTAGAACCGATCCGATATCCGTTGTGGTAAACCAGTCAGTCTCACGATTTATAGAGGTCGAATGAAAGTCATGCCTTTCTATTCCGCTGTTCAAGCGATAGCTCGTTTCTAAAACCGTTCTGGTAGGTCTGCTTTAAAACCAATTACTGTTCGGAACAATCGCGGTAATACGTGATTACGGTGACCAGTTTTTGCGTTGCGCTTATCTCTGAAGAGTTTTCGTTCGTTTACACTACACGTTTCGTAACAGATTCAACAAACGCTAAAGCTGTGAGATGTTTATGCTTTGATTTGTTAATAGGCTATGCAAACCACAGAAATATGTATATACCTATTTTATCTTGTTGTTCGTTTACTCTTAAATATACGTCATCAAAGGTTAGATTTTCGATTAAATGCCTACACATTGCATCTCATGCATGAAAATATGTACCTACCATGAAGTATTTCAACAAGCATTACATTGGAAATTAACCGATTTGAAATGCGCCGAAATGCGATACAAATACCTACCAGAGCAAACAATATACATATATCGATTGCAGTTGCCAAACAAAGCAATATTTACATTATGTCGAAACATTTAATATTTTGGCCCCCTTTTGTTTTATCTTGTTTCCACATGTCGAAATGATCGTGCTATCTTTCGGATGTATAGTTAAATTTTTAATTAAAGTGTCTGTCAGATAACACCGCAAATAGCAAATATCTCAGTATACAGATTACGGAGAACTTTGACTTTTATTAGACTTATCGGGAAAGAAACGATTGGTCGGGGCATTAGGGGTCATATTTGTTATCGTCTGTTCTAGGTTGTTAATGAGTGCCATTGTTTCTTCATAACCGTTTTGCTTATCGCAGCAACTCATTGAATCAACATTTATCATGGCATTCTATTGGGTTAACTATGGCGTTAAGTAACGAAATAATTAGATTACTGCAATATCGGCTTTAAATCAATTTGTAAACCTTTCGGTCATCTTAAAAATTGATACCTGCACTTAATTTTGTTAATCACACTTACACTACAGACAGATAACATTTTGTCGACTCACTAATCAGGTTTCTTACAAACAAGGCTACTCAAGCATTCCAATGAGAAACCCAGATAAGCAAATGAGTGTGATTGCAATACTGCATTCTCCAATTAACGCACGTAAGTCTCAGGATGACCAGATACATTGATTTGTAAAGGTAAAGGGAAGAATTTAAAAAAAATCAATGACCCAACTCATCAAACTTGCAATAGTTTCATTTTAATTATCGCCAACATCATTTATTGCGCTTATTCATGAGATGGTACCCACCTACGTAGCTACGGGTGCGTTAAACCTACAAAGCGTGCTTTCCATTAAACAGTAAGAGACGATACCTAGGTATAATCGGCTCCATTGTGTGACATGTAGCGATTTAATTTATCGTCTCAAACATTCTAAGAGCAGATTAAGGTGAATCCGTACAAGGTATTCTAAAACAAAAACTCGGTAGGTACCTACATACCTATAATGAGTTTGCCATTTTGTTAAAATCTTTGCAATTTTCGTGGCAAATTTAACACCTGTACGGGTTGTATTGAACCAAAAATGTGTTAATTCCGTGAATGGCAAAAGGCAAACATCCGGTTAAATCAATAGGACAGGTAGACAAGAAAATATGTTTAATCATTGACCTCCACAATCTTTTTATACCGATTCATTCTGGGAATTCTTAATACATACTTGCGTAACCAGAAGAAAACAAAAAAGATAGCCGCCGATTTGCTCGGTCTTCATCTTGTTTGACTTTGAAATGACCTCAGCTCGTTCGACCAGTCGAATGAATTGTAACTTTAACGGTACGACCGGTACGAGTTACAAAACATGATTCACACGTAAACGCGATTCTCTGTTCGTTTTCAGATTAATTACAGGCCATATGGCGATCAAGAGAGATTATTTTGATATAGAATCATTTTACTCTTTCTATTAGTAGGCAGTGTAACTCTCACCACAAGTTCAACTAGAGAGAGCGGTAGAAGATTGGAGTGGCTTTATTTTGAAGCAATTTTGATACTAATCTGGGTGCAATCAATGTTATACCGGCCTAAAATGATCATTGAAAAACTTTCCGTTTATGAGCCGGTATACCTATTTAGGTACTCACTTAGACCTTGGTTGTGGATTTGATGCACTTTGCTGTATTCAATTTTGAAGTGGTCTTTAGAATATTATCAGAACTAAAGAGTTCAATTAGCTAATTTTGATAAGATTGAGTACCTAATATGAGAAATTTCAACATAAAGGGTGATTCAAAATTGGCGTCATTCCTTTTAAGGTGTGATAGAGGCTCCCTTGGGGAGTACGAGAAAAATATTGAAAATTTTAGATAGATAGATAGAAATAAATACCGAGGAAGGCCTACTTCCTACCACGTTTGTACGATACACCAGCACAAGGAGATACAAATGGAGCAGGAGTTATTTAACTGAATACGAGAAGCTGCTTGATAAGAGTGGATAATAAGGAGATTACACAGGCACTAGCTTGTTTGGAGTTAACCATTCAAATGTTTGGTG